TAATTGAGTGACGGCAGGATGATTTAGCGCGGTGGTGCTGGACGCGGAGTCCCATATGTCATCTGCTTACCAAAAAATAAGGGAAATATCTAAATTTGTCCCGCAAACAACTTTCCTGATTCACAATAACTGATTCCTTCCGAATTTGCTGACTGCAACTTTAACTATATTAACTATTGAAACAGTTTCAATCCGTCGACTGTTTTGAAGAAACGCTGCCGTCAAATTCACCTCATTTCTTCTATTGGCACGTACTTGTACGTGTAGTCCTCTGCTAATGGTAATATTGTCGGACTGCACATTTTCTACGGGTACTTTTCTTTGTAGTCACTTTATTAAAAGAAGAAGGCCTTTGCTTTTAAGTATCCCTTTAATGTCCGAAAATCGAAAAAAATGTCTAACCTTGACAATAGTACATAATACAAAGGTAGGTTTAGCATCAGAGATAGGTGTGAGCCATCTGCAAACTACTGCTACTGAAACTATTTTCATTATATCTTTACAGTTTCTCAGCAAATGAGGATCAAGTTTGCTTTTAAAAGTGTCAACAGTATACAAGAGTGTTAGGACGGCCTAAGGTGCAGCCTTAGCAAGCAGTAGCTTGCAAGCCATAGCCGCACTCCAAACAGTTTATCGATCGGCCTACACAGGCGAATGTACACAGGCCATCAATCAATCAATAATTCAAATTTCAAGTTGCAGTCAGCCGTCAAGCTAGTAGCCAATCGCACCGGTGGCCAATCTAGAAGAGAATCTGATTAGCTCAAGGGACACCGTTTGCACGCCTTTGATGCTCTAAATATGTTGTACCTATGACACAAAGAGACTTCTGCCGTTGCATACTCCTTGTCGTGTTCTTCCTTTGGGGGCCCACACAAGGCGTTATTGGGCGGTGATATCTCGGCCTGTGCATCCGTTACAGTAGAGAGGACCACCTCATCAGGGAGTCTGTTCCACTCTCCGATGACCTTCTGCGAGAAGGCGTTTCGTCGAACGTCCATATGTGCCGGCTTCTTCTGCAGTTTAAAGGAAGGACACCGCAGATGATTCGTCAAAGCCAAATCAAAGAAGTTATCAAATTCTAGGGTACACTCATATCCTCCGAAGATTCAGTAGATTTCGATGAGGTCACCGCAGAGTTGCCTGTAATCGAGAAGAAATAAATCACGTTCATTCAACTGGTTTTCGTAAGGCAGATGACCGAGATCCTTGACCATTTTGTTGCCCTCGTCTGCACTCATTCCAGGTGCAGCTAATTATTCTTAAACTACGGACGCCAGGCCTGGACGGCATACTCCAAGTGGGGGCGAACAAACGTTCCGTACGTTTTTCTGAAGAGTTCCTTGTTGATGCGGACGAATCTTCGTCTAATCGCAAACAGCACGTGTGTCGCGCGTTTAGCTGCCCTAGGACACTGCGAAGATGGTTTAAGCAAGGAGTTTATTAGAAAACCAAGGTCTTTCTGTTCGTCAACGTTTGAAAGTGGTAGCACATCAAAGAAGTACTGGAATAAATCATCCTCCTCATTAGTCCTTCTAATACGGAGCCCTAAAACCCCACACTTGCAAACGTTGAAATTTAAAAGTCAACGAGGAGACCAGCTGCTTAGTAGATTGAGACTCTCTTGAAGTGCTTTCCTACCGGCATCGGACCGAATGTCTCTCCGGAGTTTGACACCTACAGCAAACATGATGGCGATGCAACTCAGGTCGTCGAAACAGTCGTTGATATAGATTAGGTAGAGCAGTGGCCATAAGACAGAGCCTAGGGGGGGAGGCGCCACTTAGAACAGATGTGGGGGATTAATTTCAATTCACCGAAGCAATAGGCTGGAAAGAGAAAAGTGGTTCTGTCTGAGGCCGTTTTGGAGCTCTGACAGTAAGTTGTCCTCCTCCTGGAACTTCATTGTCGCCTTCATAATTATCCTTTCTATCACCTTACAGCAAATGCAAGTTAGGCTGACGGGCCGATAATTGTTGACCT